GACACAGCACTGGGGCGGAGGCCAAGCGGCCGTCGCGAGCGATCGGGTCGTGCCGCCCTGCCTCGGGGCGCGTCGCTGCGTCGGTTCGGTTCGGTTGGGAGGGTGGGTTGGTTGGGAGGGTCGGTTGACTGATTGATTGATGAGGAACTTTTTCGGTTACTGTGAATTTTACTGTTACCGAGTCTCTCTCTCTCTCTCTCTCTCTCTCTCTCTCTCTCTCTCTCTCTCTCTCTCTCTCTCTCTCTCTCTCTCTCTCTCTCTCTCTCTCTCTCTCTCTCTCCCTCCCTCTCTCCTTCCCCTCTCTCTCTGTTAAATAAATATGCCAAATGATAAAACGAAGAGGGAATGCTGATATTTTGGATTGCAGATGAAACTACGCGCACACAATTCTTAGGGTGTCTATTCTATTTATACCTTTCTCCCTGACTACTATCCTTACTCGAATGCTTTGTGTGAGAGCCCACTGCTCTTCAGAAAGATGAATTATCCGCGCGTGATGAGTAGTCAATTGAGTGACGGGGTTGGGAGTGAAAATAAAAGAATGGCTGATAGTAGATATATCTTTTTCGTGTGGTAGAGAGAGAGGGGGGGGAGAAGGTAGGTAATAATTGAAGATGTTATTACGTGTAAAATATGTTTACATAGAAGTAGTTCGCAGTATTTTAGCTTATTTTGATAACTAGTTGTAACGAGTTTGTCTTGGTTTACTTACGCTGATAAACCTTCAACTTGTTTATAGTTGTAGATAAAAAGTTATCACAGCTACTATAACATCTGTTTATGAACTGCTTTTTACCTTAAATAACTGCTAGTTTTCTGATAAGGTTTTATTGGATTGACTATAATCGTTATTACTTTTACAATTTAAATATAGGAGAGGTGGGAAGCGGAAAAAGGAGAGAGTGATAGATAAACGGACACACGAGGAAGAGCGCGCGAAGACGGGATGAGGCACGAAGGAAGAACATTTAGCCTTTACCGAAAAGCAATTGCAGTAAGACGAGGCGTTTTTTGCAAAGTTGCATTTCGTGTCCTTGTAAGCACCACGGTCGTCGGAGACTGCAACACTTGCTCCGAAATGTGGACATGTTTTGTAATCCTTTGAATGAATCGGAAGTGTCATATTTTTATTGGTCATGTGGCCTTAAATAACTTAGTAACTTAATATATTTTTTTTTACTACGTAGAAAGGTAAATGCCATTTCTAATGTAGTAAAAATGCGTTAATGAATATGCACGATTCCACAATGCAAAGTTTGATATTAACCCAATCGGCACGTATGAAAAGAATACATGCCATGCCCAATGTAATACAAGTTTGTTTATCAACACACAGATGGCTCTATAAGTACTTAGTCACTAAGGAGTCGGTTATTAGTCCTGCCTATGTCACCTGTTTATCCTTTTCCTCGACTTTTGTCTTTTTACATTTTTTCGTTCTTAAAGGTTAACGAGGTTTTAATAACAATTTAATAATCATAACATCAAATAACAATAGTTGGTTTGGGTTAATATTTCATATAAACGTTGATAACAATCTCCGCCATACATTTTCCGCAGTCTGTTCCGGTTTCTGTCATTTTCTTGAATTCTTCGTTAAGTAAATATTTTGCATTGGAATTTTTGCTTAATGGCTGGGAAGTACTTTTGCTTTACCCATTGGGACAATTAAAACAGATTATTCCGTCCCCTTTTGTAAGAGTACAAATTTACCATTTTTTAAATCGCTGTAATGATGATATTACTTTGGTTCACCTTAAGTAAAAAAAAAAAGAGTTGATTAAATGATGTAGATAAGGAAACGGCATTACTGAGATCAGTACAAGTTAAGTCATTAAATCTTATCGCTACCTTTACTTGATTAATCCAAAGGTATCACTTTATCACTACCCTTTTCCTGAGATCTGAGGCCAAGGGCATGTTTTCTTAGTCGATGATTTCCGAAGATCAAGGAAAACGATTTCGAGATGTGTTGGGCGAATTTGCATAAGACAGGAAATTGTGTTAAAGCAACTTGTCGAAATTGGCAGCGGCGTGTGCGATTTGCGGATGCATCAGTTTTGGTTTAATGGAGAATGGAGACGATAAAAAACTTGGTCTCGATAGCATATATTCAGGGAAATCGCATTCATTTACTTAACCCCCCCCCCCTCTCTCTCTCGTTCTCTCTCTCTCTCTCACTCACTCTCTCTCTCTCATTCTCTCTCTCTCTCTCATTCTCTCTCTCTCTCTCTCTCATTCTCTCTCTCTCTCTCTCTCATTCTCTCTCTCTCTCTCTCATTCTCTCTCTCTCTCTCTCATTCTCTCTCTCTCTCTCTCATTCTCTCTCTCTCTCTCTCATTCTCTCTCTCTCTCTCTCATTCTCTCTCTCTCTCTCTCATTCTCATTCTCTCTCTCTCTCTCTCTCTCTCATTCTCTCTCTCTCTCATTCTCTCTCTCTCTCATTCTCTCTCTCTCTCATTCTCTCTCTCTCTCTCTCTCTCTCTCTCTCTCTCTCTCATTCTCTCTCTCTCTCTCTCATTCTCTCTCTCTCTCTCTCATTCTCTCTCTCTCTCATTCTCTCTCTCTCTCATTCTCTCTCTCTCATTCTCTCTCTCTCATTCTCTCTCTCTCTCTCTCTCTCTCGTTCTCTCTCTCTCTCTCTCTCATTCTCTCTCTCTCTCTCTCTCTCTCTCTCTCTCTCTCTCTCTCTCTCTCTCTCTCTCTCTCTCTCTCTCTCTCTTTCTCACATTCTCTCTCACATTCTCTCTCTCTCTCTCACATTCTCTCTCTCTCTCTCTCACATTCTCTCTCTCTCTCTCTCACATTCTCTCTCTCTCTCTCTCACATTCTCTCTCTCTCTCTCTCACATTTTCTCTCTCTCTCTCACATTCTCTCTCTCTCTCTTTCTCTCCCTCCTTCCCTCCCTCCCTCTCACTTCCCCCCCTACCTCTCACTTCCCCCCCCCTACCTCTCTCTCTTCCCTCCCCCCCCTACCTCTCTCTTCTTCCCTTCCTCTCCCTCTCCCCCTCCCATTCCCTCTTTCACTCTTTTCAGTAGTGGAAAGATTTGTTATATCAGGTGGAGGTTATATTAATGTGAAATATCTGTCTGTAGGAAATTAAATGAATATAGACAGGAACTATATCAAGAACAACTAAACATTTATAGTAAAATGGTGGGAATTAGTGTTGTTTTTCTGTCATTGCTCATATAACAAAGGAAACTGCACTAATGCATTGTATTCGATGTTCTAAGAAAAACCGGAACAGGAGAATGAACGTGTCATTTATGTAAGATGCATAGAAATCAATGGAAAGATGACCCAGTGTCTCTTCATAACGTACGAGGGGGAGCTAATTCACAAAACTATTAAGATGATTGAGGCCATTCCACCATTTAGGCGTGCTGCCCTCAAATACCTGACGCTATTTTGCTTTAATTGCTCAAAGTGGGGACACAGAACACATACTTGCCCACTGCATACTATCTCATGAGGGTTCATAATTACCTTAAAAAATACGCATATCCCTTGAATATTCGTGAATTGCCGACGAAAGCATAAAATACCAGTTCTCGTTTGTGTGCATAAGATCCAAAGGAAAATGAACACAAAAAAGGCATCTCTTCCCCAGTACCTTTACTCTGTGAAGTTGTTTATGTGCGTTGCCTTCAAGAAGTCAGAATTAGTCCTGCTAAAGTTATGCTAAAATACCGGGATACACATATCATGACATACCAAATATTGCTAATCCCTCTACAAGAAAACTTGGCATTTATAGGAAGAACTCGGTTCCATCGAAAGTAAATGATAATCATGACAGTACATATGCTGAATATCTTCGTATTAAAACATTTCTTGATGGCAAATCTATCACCATCATTAATATATATAATCCAGCATGATAGTAAAGTGGTAACTAAACCTGACTGCATGATACATAGTGATACCGTCTTATTGTGTGGGGAATTTAATGTTCTCCATCCTTTGAGGGAAACACCATAGACAAAAACGGTAAGGTTCACGTCTGCCTCTGATTATAATGAACTAAGTAAAGACACATGTAAAACGTCTCATAAGGATCATACGATCTTCAACATTTTGGAAAAAAACACTAGCTTTTTAGTAGAAAGACCAGTGAGAGAACTAAAAAAAACGCAATCAAAGATTTTATGGTTGGGTAGAATCAATTGACTTCATGATTCCCATGAGCAATGTATGGAAGGAAATCAACAAGATACAGTGTAATGCCCCACCCACATCCAGAAAGGGTAGCCTCATCTCTCCTCAATAAATGGTATGAGGGCTCTTCTCTTACTCTTAGACAAGGCTGATGCACCATTTACAGTTAAAAAAATTCTTGCAGCCGTTAAGACTAGCAAACCGACTGTACCTAGAGATGTAATTATTTGTGACATCATCCAACTTCTTGCAAAGGTACAGGTAAAATGAAGATATCATCTTTTTCAACTTTGCCTATTCGGCAGGCATCTTGCCTACTACTTAGAATCAAGCACAGTCTGAGGAAATATACCAATTTCTCTGACATCCTGTCTGTCTAAAACCAGTGAAAGAATTCTCCACCAGATCAAAGACCTGATCCATCCATCTGTCTTTGGCTTCCAAAAAGGGAAAGGAACACAAACGTGTTTATACCCGTTCCTAAATGGAAGTAATGCAGTTTTCATACTTGATAGATTTCAAGGGAGCATTTGGCAGAGCCTCCCCCCATTGCAGTCCTCCATGAATTAAAACTTAGGCGTTAAAGGCAAGCTTCTGCTATGGATAACAGATTATCTGTCTTTGAGAAGGGCAAAAGTGTGGTACCAAGGCAGTTACAGTGGTTATGGCAAATTAGAATTAGGCAGTCCACAAGGGGAAGTTTTGTCCCCTATACTGTTTAATATGCTTATAGACTTTGCAAGCTCAACACTGTTAGGTAAAGTATGCAATATCACGTCCTATGCTGATGACATTCTTATTTGGGTATTTGATAGGGGTTGTTATGTTCAGAGGTTCA